AGAGGTGAGGCGGCTTCCGTCCTAGATCTCCAGTGCCGAAGGTACGTCAACACTTGGTGTGTCGGCGGCTTCAGCACTGGAAACTCGGAATCGGCAAATCAAACCTTGTCGTTTAAAAAGGGTATCGAGATGCTGCCACTCATATTTTCGAGATCATACCGCCTGGGTAACAAAGTTTAATCGGGACAACAAGGTTATCGGCAGGACAGGACTGCAAGGCCTCTTTTCTTACATTTTCACAGACAAAGACTTGGCCTAAGATACTGTTTTGTACGCCGCGCGGCCGACGTAAGCACCAGAAGCCCAGTGCCGAAATGGTTTAACTCGGCTCGGTAGTTATTTTGCTCCAACTATTCAAAGACACAGGATTTCAGAAAACAATTTACAAATGTATCTTTTGAACAAGTTTGAGAAACATCTTTTTCAACCATACCTTGCTAAAGCGCGGGTTGTGGGTGTGGCCGAAATGCTGCCCGCCTATTGGTCCCCGCTAGGCTGGCTTGGATGGGAAATTGAGGTTCCGGGGGGAGGGGGGCATATGGTTCATGACGTCGACCTTCAAATCTTGATCGTAGCAAAGGTTATTGAATTTAGATGTTTTGGTTGCTGCTATCAAGGAGCTTTCATCACATGCCTTGCTGCTATACACTAATGCAGTATCAGATTGGCAACATCCAATACGCTACACAAAAGTGTAAAAATTGATACCAATACAAAAAAAAAACCTACAAAAAAACTGAAAACGCAAAATAAGCCCAAGCCTAAACTTCTACTTGGAGAGTTTGAGTGTATACGGTCATAGGTTGACAACAATATCAATTTGTCGGTAAGAGTGGACACCGTTTGCAATGAAAAGGAAGAATTCAAAAGAGAGTACCTACAAAAGAGAGCCCCAAATTCTGAAAATGGTTTTGACAAAGATATGCGAACAGATTTTGGCATTGAAATGACGCCTCAGACATGATGTGTCCAGAAGCTGTTAATCGCAAAATTAGCACCGAGTCGGCAAATTTCTGATATTTCAGTTTTTGGATAAACTTCGGACCCCTTGCTGTCCCTCCCCAGGGCAATGACAACAAGCTGGCGACGATCAAAGCCCGGACCTCTCACACCTAATCAGTACATGTAGCAGCTATTACCATACACACACATATGTATGGCGGAACTTCGCTGTTGTCATGAAAAATCAGAGTACGTCGAGAAATGTTGCAGGTGATTGAGGTGTGTTTCTGCCCACGGGAAATGGTGTAAGATTTGAGGCTGACTTCGATGTGAGACTTGTGCCGTCAGAACAGTGTAAACTTGTCGTCAATCTGCGAACGTTTTAGTAGGAAATGTAGGAAACCAAAGAGTCTGAATAAATTACAACATTGCGCTACACTACCTTAGTTTCTAACGTACAAGTATCATTGCAACACTCGAACAATTGATCATATTCAATTCGTCTGCGACGTTTAACGCGTGGACTTTGGTAGACTAATGTTCAGGGTAAAGTAATACTACTAGTACACGGTATCAAGGAGGTTACTTAGTGATACCATGGTGATACATGGTATCAAGACATGTATATCGTGTCACTCATGCCATCTAGGTATGCCTGTGATGTTTCATTACAGTATGTACATAGAAACAAGCCTTGCGTTACGTAGGTGAAGGTTGGACATAAGATACGCCAAAAAACAGTTACTAAAGCAACTGGATATGATTTTGGAATGGTCAGATGTTTCAGGTAGCATCCACTACCTTTCGTCAGTGACACAACCCTTTCGTTTATAAATAAAATATAAATCTTTAAGCTTAAGCTTGGACTCCTTAGCTTCTAACTCCATGCTCGGTTCGAGTGGTTTGCATTTCCTTGTCCTGCTGTATGCATTGGCACTTGGTCAAAAGTGACATACATGTATTTATCATGTAATAATTATGAATATCATATCTGCTACCATTTCTTTGTAAGAAATGACACATGTTTGTGGCCCGTGCGGATGTACTTTTGTTAATCGAGTGCGGTCATATCTGGCGTGACTTTACTCACTATCACATGTTCTTGTCAGAAAAATCATTTATGGCGGCAAAACTATTATCGTCACCATAATGTTGATCTAATGCCCACGTTTTTTCACGTTGGTGTGCATTCTATAGATATACTCAGTCTCTTCTGCCCAACAATGCAACGTTACAAACTATCATTTCGCTTCTCTATGTTCCGTCACTCAAAATATAAAATCTAGTTATGAAAAGCGACTTTTTTTCAGATTTCTTCATGCCTTGCATTTCAACTCGGCCTAAGAGAAAGGAAATTTGCTTTCTCTTTTCTTTCCTATTTTCTGTTCTGATAAGTTATTTGATTGTCATTATTTTATTCCTTCGTTGAAAACAATGGCCATTAGAATATCTGCGTATATGCAAAACGACGTTGTTGTTTTTCTCAAGTTTCCTTATGTGTCTCATTCTTTATAAAAAGCTTGGTCGGCCTCAGAGCAAGAAAACATTCTTTCCTCTTTCTTTTCTGTTTCTTTCATTCTTTCGCTAAAACAATAGCCGTTGGATTATCCCCGCGTATGTTCAGGTCCCGGTCGGTGTT